AGTTTTACACCAACAAGTCATTTGCTCATGTGCATGTGGGTGCAGGGTGGATGGCTACGCAAGTACCCCTACTCCACGTGGCATTTCCCCGACAAAATCCCATTATATCCGTCCGTACACGTGTCACTTACCACCCATCTCTTCAAATTCAAAGGAAAAAAAATACCATATCTTCGAACAATCACGATATATTTTTATTTTGATAATTGATATTTGATAGTATACATGGTCTATTAATATACATGTTCATGTTAAAAAAACGCTATTTATATAAAAAGAAAAAGATAAATATAACTTATTCGCTTTTATATCACACATTATCTTTCATTTGTAAAAGAAGTATGTCGTTTTTACTTAAATATATTTTCTTTAAATTTATCATACTTGTTTAGTTTTATTAGAATATATTTGACTTTTGTTGTGTTTGGGTTCAATCCGCCAAGAAATAGGTTAGAGCATATGGTGTGGGTCCCCTGTTCTCGTTATTACCTACGTGGAGGCCTGAAAACGGCGTCATGACAAGCTGCCCCCCCCCCCATCTCGTTGTTGCTCGTTGTGACTATTCTTGTTGTCGTCTTGATCAGATGAAACAAGGAAAATTGGAACACTACCCATTTTAAACAGTTTGAAAACGGTTATTTTAATAAAAAAAAAGTTTATAATTAATTATTTTTTCCCTATATAAATACCTATATAGCTAAACAATTTTTTAAACACATAACTTATATCTTTCTCTCTATAAATCTCAATTATTTTCAAAAAGAAATTATGGATCCTTTCGATTCGTCCGATGAATCCGATGACGATATATTCTTCAGGATGATGTATCGGTATTATACTAACGAGCTGCTACAACCAGACTTGGCCCCGCTACTAACAAGACGTGCGATGTTAAACAGAAATCGTGAGGAAAGACACGAACATCTATATCACGATTACTTTGCGGATAATTGTGTATACGGGTTGAAAGACTTCAAAAGAAGATTTCGATTGAGTAGGGATGTGTTCCTACGGATCGTCAACGCCTTGGAAAGCCGATATCGCTTCTTTACTATACTTTTATACAAAAAAAAAATCTAGTATATGTTTCTTTAATTTTACAACATATACAATATATTTTTAAGTTGTAGTTAATATATGTTTAAGTATGAATTTTTCCAATTGAGATATGATGCTAGAGGTAGATGAGGGTTTACAACTTTGCAGAAATGTGTTGCGGCCATTCGTTTGATGGCTATGATGGAGTCACCCGACACCATGGACGATTATATGAGAATGTCCGAAAGAGCCGCAAAGGAGAGTTTGTATACATTGTCAAGGGGTGTTGTTGAAACATTTGGAGACGTGTATTTGCGGAAACCTTCGTTGCATGATTTGCAAGAATTGTATGCAGCTCATGAAGAACGCCATGGGTTTCCCGGAATGATTGGAAGCATTGATTGCACACACTGGAAATGGAAAAATTGTCTGGTAGCATGGAAAGGGCAATACGCAAGTGGTTATCACGGATTACCTTCGTTGGTTTTAGAGGTTGTTGTTTCTCAAGATTTATAGACTTGACACGCAGGTGGGGTGATAACACAAATTTCCTTTTTTTTCTCCCTTTTTTTATAGTTATTGTAATATATATATATATATATATATATAATATATATATATATAATATATATTAATAATATATATATTATTTATATATATATATATATATATATATATATATTATATATATATATATATATATATATATATATATATATGGCAAACCAATCATTTCTTATAAATTCAAAATAAATTGAAACCAACTCGCAACAAAATCAAAGTTTTGAATTAATCTAAAATGTTTTGGACCAAAATAATAATTTTCGATAAACCAGACAAGTTTTACAATTTTGTCTTTATATAAGGCCATCATGTATACACATCACGAGAAGGCTCGTGGTGTGTATACACCTCATCATCTTCTTCTTCCATCCTCCTTCTATTCTCAATCCGGTATACTCACAACGAAGGAATGTGGTCGTTGTGGGTGTAAGTTGCAAGAGAGAAGAGGAGAGGAAGAGAGAAGAAAGACTATGTGGTGAATTGTGGTGGCCAACACGAAAGACCATGTTCGTGGTTCCAGATCAGCACCACGAGAGGAACGGGATGGTGTGCACGGAAAACCACCGTGGCCACCTGGACCACGAATGGCTTCGTGATACCCATACCAGACGGCCTAATAGTAAAAATAAAAATGTTATAATTAGCCTAGTTGAATTAGATAAATGAGTGGCCAAATGGGATTTGGGTTCGTGAGTGCGGTGTGTATGAACCGTGCAAGTTTAGAAATTAGAACTTGATATATCTTTTTTTAGATATAATTAATAATATAATTTTATAAGTAAATAATACTAATATTTAACAAAATGTAAAATAAAAATACATATAATATTTAAATGGGTTGACAAATAATCCGATCCAACTCATTTAATTAAAAAGAAGGCTGATACATTTAATTAAAATATCAATCAAATCTACTAATTGTATGTTAGGTTGATCTTTACAAGGCTTTAAACATAAGTGATTATTGTAACTTATAACATGGTCTGGTTGTATACAAATTGCACTTTTAGTCCAACTTGTTAGTTTCTACCATACGGTCCATAACTTTCTATTTTATTGTAGGTTTAGTCCATGATCTATTTGTGATGATTTTCTACCCTCTTATATATATATATATATATATATTAATATATATATATTATATATATATATATATATATATATATATATATATATATATATATATATATATATATTATATAAAAGATGATCCACAGCCGCTACATTAGCGGCGCCATAAACTATGTTCGTCAACCAAGTTTGTTCAGTGGTCGTAACGTAATTAGTTAGTGGGGAAAAAGCGGGCCGGGATTCAAAAAGAATTAGGCGAAGTGTTTGTTCCTGAACGACGGAAGTGGAAAGACACTAAGGGAGAGGGATATACTCCTTTCTTTTTGTATCGCCGAAATTGTACGACGAACCTTCTTGTTCCAGGTACTACCCGGATACGTTAAGGTTGAATTCTCCAGGCCCGGTTTCTAAAGTGAGAGTAGTCAGAATAAATAAGAAAGATAAGAGCTAAGATTCAGGAAAAAGCTTTATGGGAGAAAGGATAAAAAGTATGTTGTATCTGTGGGGTGGGGCTATGTATGTAGAAAGGGATCAGTCTCTATCGATCCGATACTAAAAGCGTACTGAAGACTTACTTAAGTTAAGCCCCGAAACCTATTCAGCAGTTGAAAAAACCAATTCATTCCAAGGCAAACAAAGAGTCTTTCCTTTTGTCGTTCAGTCCTTCTCTCCTTCCATCTTTCCTTCCTTCCATGTAGGCCTCTTGCTATCCATATTGAAAAAAGAGAAGAAAGGGAAATGAAGACTAGCCAGAAGACCTAAAATATAAAAAATAGAAAAGATCTAACTACTATATGGAAGTAGTAAAGCATAGTTCTAATCCTAGGATTACATATCGCTCATCGGCCCAGAACTCGCAACTACGAAGCTCTTTTGCGAGGCAACAATTCGTGGATCCATGGTTTGGATGAAGCTATGTACCCGGGTGGAGATGATTTGTCTCAAAGATGTTCCGCTCATCCAAGAATCTAATTGATCGGTAATTCGACCGACGACTCTAAGGGCATTAGCGCGGGCCTTCCATCTTACCGTGGCTATCTAGTCATTGACCCATTTGCTTGCGAAGGATTCCCCGAATACCTGAAATAGAGATGATCATAGAAAATGTGAAATATTTGATAGGATCCGTTTCGGGAACGTAGAATGTAAGAGAAATTCAAATGTTAGAACTCCAGAACCTCATTAGAAAACATAGTTGATTAAATCGAGGAGATTGACAATCTCTTCCCATAACCAACTATGAGTTCCATTTGATTGTAAGTCATAAAAATCCCTGACTAGGCTACTTAAATCGCCCGCATTTACAGCCCGAACAAGGTCCGCCATGGACCATTCGGGAGGTAACTGCCTTTCGGTGGCATTGAACAAATGGGTTAATTTATGATTTACGCTTTCTAGGATTTCCGGAAATGGTGGGGCGCTTTGCGCCTCTGACTCAGTTAGACTCTCTAATGAAGAATCTGCGGATCCTAAGAAGTCCATATTAGTCTCTTGGGATAGCATAAAAGAAAGTTCACTCGGGCTTGGTTGCCCGTAGAGAATCAAAAAATCTTGTTCCGGTTGCATGATACAATTCAAAAAGTAGGAGAAATTCAAAGGATAAAAGAAACAGTTATGGCTTTTGCGCTAAGTTAGTTACGTTACGATCTTTCTA